TATTTTGGTAAATTATTGTAATTGTTTTTTAAAAATATTTGTGTACTGTAGGCTACATAGCCTACTTATGGTAAGTATTGTCTAAGGCGAGATATTGGCAAAATATATTCAGTCAGTTTGCCTACTAGGCATTCACTATAGCCCTGTAAACATTAATTTGAATGAATTATTGGACTTAGTGTTTTATCCACATGTAAGGTAAACAAATAAATGACTTTAAATTAAAATAAAGCATCAAAGATGTGGTTAAATATCCAGAACATAAATAAATACATAAATACATGAATAAATAAATAACCCAAAGGCCATTAAAAAGTTTCTAGTGGTATTTATGGGACATTGTAAGAATTTAAATCAGTCTCATTTACTCGTATGTTTTTTGTTTTGTTTTGTTCCGCTGTCTCCACTGTCCAAACTAAACGCCTCTAGTGGCCTTTTCCGGGAACTACACCGCTCGCTCCTCCCACCTACAGATGGCGGCTCCCCACAAACACAACAGCACTTTCATCATGGAGTGTATCGAATAAATTTCCACAATGGCTGGTACGCATTGCATATCATTTTGTTGTAAGGCTTATATTACATTTTACTCTTTTTCAGAACTAAACGGATGCGTATATGGTAACGTCTCCGCCATTCACGCGGTTTGACAGCTAACGTAACGTTAGTAAATGGTGGTTTACTTGTGTACTTGCAAAATTGACTATGTATATATTACATTTAGTCAGAAATGATCAAGTAGACGCTCTTTTGTAAAGTAAATGTTTTGATTTGAGAACTTGTTTTCGTTTGCCTGTGCAGTCGGTCAAGCCTCGTGCTTTAAGAGCATTATGGTAGGCAGCGTCTTACGATCGACGGTCGCCTTTCTGCGTAACGTTAATTGATTGTTTAAGAGTTTGTCATAAAACATAAAGTACTTCGGCTAAAACTAGCTTGTTCGATGACTTGAACTGTTGCCAGTAGTGTCGTTTCTCAAGACTAACGTTAGCATACTAGCTGTTCTGTTCCCGCCCATACACATTTCAGTAACAAAGTACAAATAGTGAAAGTCAGCACAAATGGGAGGAGTGCGCTTTTCTTTTCCAAGACAAACGGTTAAAGTTTTCTCCATTGCTTTTCTTTTTTACAGACACACGCCCACCTGATGGAAAAACTGGAAGCATGTAGCACAGGTCTGTTGAATGTCATCTATTTCTACAGAAGTACTGTAATATGTGGTGTGTATTGTAATGGCAGAGACTTCACAATACAGGATTTGGTTATCTAAACAAATGCTAGTTTTGCATGCACACATGTAAGTTCACTTGTTTTAACACTTGATGCATGCGTCTCACTTTGTACAGATCACTCAGAAGACTTTTAAAGACACCTATCTGTGTTTCATCAGTATAAAATGTCAAGTTTCCTCAAGCAGCACATCACCTCTATGGGTGAGATATGTGGGATATACTGTACAGGGATGCTTGGTGTGTTGGGCTGCTGTTGATCTGCTTGTAGGCTTACTGTGGTATGGCACAATGGCAATATTAGATACATTGGCTTGCAGATTTTCTGCCCTTATTGTCTAGGCTGGAATGCATTGCACGACTCTTGAAAATTGCAACAGCTTAGCCATCATACACTAAACAACTGACAAATTAAAACAATGTGTTCTAAACTCAGACCAAAATAACAAACATGCTTGATCCTCAGATTGGATGGAATAATAGTCTGAAGCTACAAATCGGACTCTGCGCCCATCATACATTGTGATTTTCTCCGACTGCCCAAAATCTGCAGGCTGGCTCTGACTTTCGGCAACTGTCTACGACTCCACCAGACTGCAAATCGGGACAAAAATCTGTACATAAGTCGTCTAGTATATTCCAGCCAACTAATGTCAGTGCTCTTTGCATGTCAGTCTGATTTGTGCCCGCTAACAATCTTAATGAACATGCACTAACATATAAAACAGGCTTGGGAGGTGATTCAGCTGCTATGATGATATGAAGAGGCTTCTTTTGCACTTCTCGTCTGAATGCCTGACAGTGTGTTTTCTTTACTTTTAGTGAAAGAATTAATTCCACTTGGCGCTCCACGACGTGACAGTGTAGATGCCACGCCACATCCTGTGTCAGGTAGTCTACGTTTTGAACCTTCTGAGAAGACTCCAAAACTCTTGAGCTCACTGCCTAAATGTATCCTGCCCACTAAAAACCCTGAGCTGGAACAGAGGGACAAGTCCACTTCAGCTGCACTCAAAGCCTCCAATAATAGACCACATCAGGATAGTATTCTGGATTGCAAAGTTGTTATGAGAAAACTACAACCAAATAATGGCAACATTAACTCCAGGAAGGATGGCTCTCTCAATCCCACGATTAAAAAGGACACTCTGCGGAGGACCAGTTCTTACAACAGAGACAGAGAAATTTCTTTTGCTCTCAGTAAGGAGCTGAATGAAAACTTGAGGGTAAATGCAGCTATAATTTTTTTCTTAATGCATTTCCATCAGTATTCTAATGCAGGGACTCCCAAACTCTTTTGTCAGCCAAATTGAATTAGGTCCTTTGACAAATTGGATCAGTTTTATTCTATGCAATAGCAAGATATAACTGTTGAAATACTTTAGAGCTGAGCATAAAAAGAAAACAATCCCACGACTTTACATCCTGAAGAACCCAATAATTAATTAAATCATAAGCTTAAACCTTAAAGTGAATAAATAATTGCTGCACCTCCTGAGATTTTAAGTTAATATTTCAAGAATTTAACAACACATTTGCATGTCCACAATTCTCTGATGTCGGTTAATGGTCACATGACTTGCAGGTAAACAAACAAAAATATTTCATATTAATATATAGTAATAATTAAGATTGTTCTTTTCTGTGAATCGATCAAACGGGTTCTCAGATCAATCTGAATGACTCATTAATGCATCTGCCATAATCAAAGATTTTTTTTTTTT